TGTTCTCTTACTAGTGCAGCCATACAGCATAGTACGTACGCGCGCGCACGCACACACACACGCGCACGCACGCACACACAAATACGCACGCACACGCGCACATATATATATATATATATATATGTATAGCATTTGCTGATCGAATATTACTAGTGCAGTACTGTAGTGTACTTGCAGCATATGTCTCTACAATCGTAAACTTTAATGATTTCGCGTAAAGCAGTAGTTTATATTTAGTTCGGTAAGTATCGGTGCATTGGAATATCAAGTGTAAACCGATGCAATGAGTTCCAAATGCCACTATCGACATGTAATGAATGTAATTTTATCTTCCGGAAATAATAAGTATTACTCGCTTTGCGGGATGTAAAATCAGCATAATTCTGCTAATAATGTCTTGATTGGTACGCCAAAAACGGCTAGGCTATATTGCCTGTGGGGTAAGACTGAAAAACACAATCCGCTCAACTGTATGATCATATTTTATGTATTGTCCAATTACATGGTGTCCAACGCCATCTTGTGCGAATGCAAACTAACGGGTATTTTACTAATGCGGATCTCGATTTTCTAACCTTTGTTAATATATTTTACGCGGCTTTTTACAATCTCGACTTTTTACTCGATGGTACTATGAAATAGCCTGTATAGCTACGCTCTAGTGGTACAATTATATGCTTTATTATTTAAAAAAAAAAAATCATGCATTTAGCATTTTTATGAAATGATTGTCTTGTCAGGAAGGACTCCGAAGTTTTTAAGCCATGCCCGATCGAATTACGGGCTGAGAGCCGGAGGCCAATCTACGCACTCGTCTCGAAAATGCTTATCGCATATATATACGGATGGATAGAAGAATGAGACCATATATTATACAACAAATTGACGAAAAACGGTGGTTCGCCGAGTGAAAATTATTCACCAAACAAGGACCGAAACGAGCTGCTCTTATATTTGTATGTACAATCGCGTACGAATGCGTTTAAATTCCGCGCATATAACCAGAGTAATGGCCATAGGCGCAACACTTGGCACAGTCATTAAAGCCCGTGAAATTAGATTTATAGGTAGAGTTACAAGCGCAGCTCGGTGCCCCTATATACCACTGCTGTTTGTACTGTCCTTGTACTTTTTGACCGGTAAGATACCTGCTAGTATCGTCTCCCGGAAATCATATGAAATGATTAACATGTCCCATGTTAATTAATTACGTACATGTTCCGTGAACAACACTGAATTAAGCCATTGCGGCACTATGCACGAAAACTACGAATGACTTCAAACTTCAAAACTTCAAACTCGCTGCTAAAATTAAAACTCTCTTAAAACTAAATTTTCTCGCTACTGTTGCTGCTGCTGCTGCTGAGCCGTCCGTTTAAATCAGTGCGGTTACGATGGTCTCAAACCTGATTATCACGCATCTCCACATATTTCGGACGCACGCGCTCCGTCGTAAGTGGCGTCGAAATCTGGCCGACGCTAAAGCCGAGCGCATATAAACACGGCGTTATACTATCAAGAGGCCATACTAGAAAATAAAGAATAGAAAAATAGAAAACAATTTCATGAATAATTTTCTATTATGGATTATTGATACTATATATATATATATATATGACGTGCTGCCGCCGCCGCCACCGACTGAACAGCCAGCGACGTGTTTACATTCGCTAGCGTTGCGTGCGTAACACAGTAACGCGCGAGAACGCGGCGCATTGAAATTCACGTGTTAGATCGCCAACACGCGGCGTCGGCGTCGTCGGCGTCGTCCTGCGTCGTCTCACGCTCCGTCTGCATGTCCATCTGCATTTGTTCGAGCGCGTGAGGTCGACGAATATCATATTATCAAGAGCTAATAATATACATTCACGATATATACATAATAATAATGGTATATGATATACAAGATACACATGATAATGATGTACATGATATATAATAATATATATTATGTATATTTTTAGCTCTTGATATTATATATAATGGCGCTGTGCATGTCTCTGTGTATCAACTGTCATGGCGAACGCCTACGTCATTAGAGAGACGAGATCAGATCGAACTGAGGACACGGTCAGACGCAGGTCTGCCTAAAAGCTAACGCAAGCTAAAAACGACGCTACAATTATATCATCTCCGCATATAAAATCGGATTTTGATAGCGCAAACGAGCAACGCGATTCACTAAGAGTCTATATACAGATACAGTACGCCTGTTGTATAGACGGGCGAAAAACGCTAGATCGCTGCCAACCCGCTTAGTAACGCATCTGATGGGTGCTGACGAGGTTTTAACATCTATATAATTTGCCTCGATTAAGGCGACATATACCAGCGAAAATCATTGGTGTAAACATTTAGAGACTGGGCAATGTTTCTGCACATGGCTTCATTAATATTTCAGGTTAGTTATACCTAGTTGATTAATGTTTCATAGATAGGCATATTCATATTTATGCCCATAGATTAACATTTGAATGCTTCACAGCTCCACAATGATGCTGGCCATGCATGCACACGCGTTAACACTTTGCAGATTAAACCAAACGAACCCGGAACGCACTACGAAAACCTTCCGAAGCACCCGGTCACAAACCGAATGCAATTTATGTCCTCATTAATTTTGCATACTTCAATTTATGATAAACAACCATTTTCACAATAGAAAACGTCATTCAGCGAAGGAAGAACGAATGATAGACAAATGTTTACCGTGCCAATAAAGGCTATAACGTGCATACGAGGGTTATCATTATGCGCGCATGCTAGTTGATTCTATGCTATTTTTCAGACCAAACGTGTACAAATTATAAATCAATATAATATCTATTATATATATATATATATATATATATATATATATATATCAGGAGCGTATAATGACAAATATATATATATAAAAATATAAAAATAAAATATATTTGTCATTATACGCTCCTGATATCATATATATTGATAGCTGACGGTTACATGTGCGCGTTTACATCTGTGTATAAACGCACAGACAGACATGCACGAAGGGCCGCGCATACGCGCACACGCACGCGTTTAGCATTTGATAAATGCAGCCGGTAACTCATTAGGATAATTGTAAACTCCGATGCACACGTGTTTCGGTCCCACGCATTAATCGCTGTCAACATCTACCGGTGATGTTCTCTAAACAAAAATTCAAACGACTGCAGAAAAAAACACGTCATTAAACACCTTGTGCAAACATTGTATAGTTGACATGACGATAACATGGCAAGCTTACAAAAGCGCGACAGCGGTTGTGATCCCCTATTATAGACGACACTAAGATTGATGAAATCACAAACTAGCGTTCGACACAATAGCGTTCAGCTTTCCGTGGGCTTACGCAAATACCGTTACACAATCATCACACAATCCTCTTACGATATGTTTACCTGCGTCCCGACCTCCTTTGTAAAAAGTACATCAGAACGCGTTTCGCTTTGCTTGATTAGACGAGAGAGAAAATTGGATCAAAATCTGCGCACGCAGTCTTTCAGTTTAGGTGAGGAAAATTAACACGGCAGATATGCTGCGATATATCTGCGCCGCACTAAACTAATAGGTTACCGGATAGAATATCCACGCACGTACGATGAACAAGAATGAAACGTAGAACAACAAATTAAGAAAGATAGAAGCAACACGATATTCTCCATTGCTCCGGATTACAGCATTTGTTTTGGGAGCGTGAACGCCTCCCGTGTTAGTTCCTATTTTATAACGCACATCTTTCGAAAAAAAAATCTGCTATATACAAAAGAGCTTCTTGTGTTAGCGTGTCCGTGTGAATATGCGTGTGCGAGCATTCATGTGTGCGTGTGTGTGTGTGTGTGCGTGTGCGTGTGCGTGTGCGTGTGCGTGTGCGTGTGCGCGCGCGTGTGTGTGTGTGTGTGTGTGTGTGTGTGTGTGTGTGTGTGTGTGTGTGTGTGTGTGTGTG